CCTGCAATTTGGGAGAGGTGCAGCAGAGTGTCTGCGGAGGGGGCAGGGATGTCTTTTTGTTCACTGCGACACCTAAGCAGACGACCTAGTTTCGAAGTATAAATGAGCCTTTCAGCAGGCCTGCTTGATACCACGGTAAACATACCGTAACAGGGTTTTGGTTCGATCGCTCCGTCCCCCGCTCGGTCCGGTCCAGTCAGCGGCCCTGCAGCTCATTTTATGATGGAAGTTTAGAATTGTGAGATTTGCAGAGAAAAGAGGTGCCGATGGGGTTTGAACTTCCCTCTACGTCCATTTCACCCACTGAGCTATTGTTATTCATCTATGACAATGTAAACTCAGTTTTGCATTCTATTAAACTTTTAAGGAATGATTTGCAAAGTTTGGTTGCAAGGTGGCACAGTTTGCAGCATTACTGGCCTGTAGCAGGAAGGTCCTTGGTTTGAATCCCAGCCTATGGCTCTCTGGGTTTGAACATTTTCCCCGCACATTCATGGGCTGGCTTGCTTCAGGGACTGGGGTATTTCTGGGTTGCCAGTGGGTGGACTGGATGTACCAGGATGTACTCCACATCTTGTCCAAAGGCTGGATGGACAATGATTTTTTTTTGTTATTATTATTAGAATGAATTTGATATTTTTTTAGGTTGTAAATTTATTGTTAATTCATGGTATATTTAGCTGCCAAAAACTAAAATAATAATTTTGAGGCTAATCTTCATTGTTCTCTTTGATACACGAAAGAGAAAAATCATAGAAGCTACCAGCATATACAGTGTTCTCCAGACTATAGAGCGCACCTCACTTTAAGCCACAGCCACTATTTTAAAAAAGCTGAAAACGTACATGTATAAGTCGCACTGGGCTATAAGCCGCTTATATATACTGAACTGTTTCCCACCAAACCTGCAGGGGGAGCTCTACATATATCCCCTGGAATAGGGACAAAGAAGAATGCTAGCTCCCGTTAGCTTTTTAGCTCGCAGCAGTAAGAGCTTCTACTGAAAGATGGGGCTTCATCAGCTCTTTATTTCAGCTCTGCAGGAGTTGAGCCCAGTCTCTTCATTGGTTCGGCAGCTTTAATGCGGAAAATAAATGGCTAAATGTTTGAATCCGGGACATTTATTTTCCGTCGTGCCTGCTGCTAGCATGTTCTTATGCTAAATGAAAATTAGCCCCTTATTTTTTCACTGCCAACTTTGACTTCCCCCTCTGACGGTTAGGAAAAACTAACAGAAAAGCTGCACCTTCTTATAAGCCGCATGATTCAAAGCATGGGAAAAAAGCAGCTGCTTATAGTCCGGAAAATACGGTATTAAAATCTTTACTTCATATACCATACAGTAGATCATCAAAGATCCAATTTGCTTTCCCGCTTACTTCCTGAGATATCTACACATGATATAAAATATAGAGTGTAATAGTCTACAGCTTAAACAATTCCAACATTGAGATGAGCTGAAAGGATATTATATGAACTTTATAAATACAATTATAATTAAATGTGTTTATCTACCTTTTCAAATGAAAGGTTTGTAATACAAGGTTCCGGTTAAAAAAAAAAAAATGCTAATTTCCACTTGGATAGAACATTTAATAGAATATTTTTTATTTTTTGGACAAAACCGCTCAGCTCTACCTTCCGACTTAAGTCCCTGAACCGATCATTGGTAACTGGATATCATTTAAAAAGGATAAACATTTCTTTACACGCTGTGCACCATTAAATCATCACTAATGGGGGAAATGTTTTACCACATGTAGGAACATTTTAAAATTGGCACATCTTATCTCATTTATCAAACTATTCCAGTGACTCATGGGCAGCAAAAAAGAAAATAGTTTTTATAAAACAGTTAATGGTTTTCTATGCAATAGGGGTTTAAGGTCAGGTCAGTAGCTATAGGTTTGAACTGGCACTGAGATAGAAACCGAAACACTGCAATGGAAAGAAAAGTTTTTTTGTTTTGTTTTTTTTTTCCACCGAACAGGTTTCATTGCTAAACTGGTGCGGGTGCTTTTCTTTCTGTCTACATTGCCGCAAACACTGACCTTAAAAAACTGCTGCTATATCAGCTCCATATCTTTGTTGGGTCAGGCAGAGGAAAGACATTTGTTTCCACCTCATGGTGGGGAGTTCATCTAGACCAGGGGTTTGCAACCTTTCATATCCAAAGAGCCATTTTGCTTCGAGTACGACCAAGTCAAAGTTTTTTAGAGACGCAAAATATAACATGTCTTTTAAAAAAAAATAAATATATATATATTT